TGTTTGCGAACACAGAGGATACGATATTTGGCCTCAGAATGTGTTAGCCTGTGCTGGAGAATGGTTATAGTGAGTCATGTGTGGGGACAGAGATTTGGATCGAGATGTGTTTTTTTCAACAGGTCTCCACAGTTCTACCAAGCTAGCCAACAGCCCTCGCTATCTCATGCACGCTCAGTCACAGTTCCACGTATTTAGTGTGACCCCTAGGCACAGCTAGGACAGTGTATAATAAACTGTAGGATGCCTCAACAGTGATTCCTCTGCAGTGCGGGAGAGTGAGTCCCCTCACTTGATTGCCGGTGTGGAATGTACCTGCATGGGTTCTAGGATCTAGTGGAAATAAAAAGGACTTGGGATACGCGAGGAGCCAGTGCCTGTAATTTGCTGCATGGCAGGACACTCATGATAGGAGGGCAAGGGCAACAGAGGCGGATATGCTGTTACTTTACATGGATATTGGCTGCAGATAATTCTGACAGGTGCCGATTTTGGCACGCTGCAGTCACTGAACATCGATCAGCAAAGGAATTTTTTTTGGTATTTCTTTGTACCCTCGGTTGGTAAATGTGCATCAGAGGTCTCACCGTATATCAGCAGGTTGTTCATCAGCTGAGCGTAAGTAATGCAGCCAGTAATGGGAATTGCTGAGAACAACCAAACCACATACTTCCTTTCGCATCGATACTGTTTCAGGTCACACCTTTGTATTTATTAAAGAGCGGTTTTTGTGGAACCTCTCGACAATTATTTGTGTGCATGCAAGCTCACAGGCACGCAGTAGGAATTGAGTGAACTTTCTGATTTTGATTTCTCTGAAATGTCACCCGGACAAAAATGAATCACATACCTCTTAACCTCTTTAATTGTCACTATCGTGGCAGTGCAAAGGGGTTAAGTAACAGTTTCAGGTTCCTTGGGGGCTGCTGTAGAAGTTGATTGAAGATGCTGTACATGTACTTTTTTCTTATGTAAAACAAATAATTGATACCGTACTGGATTTCAGAGAAGGGTGGGGTTAATACTACTTGTACCCATTTTATTTGTGATTCATATTGTTAATTGGACTGAATGAAATTTTAAGATTATTGCTATTTCAACTGCCCACTATTTTCTAAATTTCCTCTATGGATTTAGGGAAATCTGACCTGGAGGAATTAGGCCATCATCTTACGATTGTGGTTTAAACTTTTACACAATTTTTTTTTCATTCACATAAAGAAGCAATCAATATCCATGCACTCATGAGTCACTCTGTCACGAGCGTACAGGAAAGCAAAGATCTAAACTACTGTTTGAAGATCAAACATATTTACCAGAGCTTCCATGTACAGTATGCAGATATATTTCGAGTGTTGAAAGTGAAAATACATATACATGCACTCTGTATATGTGCGCACGTGCACATCATGGGGAAAAGTGACATCACTTTTAAGTTTGGCATGTATTTTCCTATCAAGTAAGTCACTCAGATATTTTGTTTGTAAGTGCTGTGAATTGATTTCTAGGTGTACACTTACATCTGTATATGGGTTGATGTAATGTTTTTATACACTGAATTACACATTTCGTTTTTGGAGATTGTAAAGCTCACTTATTTTACCATAATGCAGTTCACATTGGACAGTGTATATACAATCAGGATCACTTTGATCCAGGGTACAAGCATGGGATATGGTTTTTAGTGGCCTTTTTAAACAGGTTTGTTCCTCTGTTCCTTGCTCTATGGACTGTTCCATTTGGATCTGATTTCTTTTTTTCCCCCCATTTTTCCCTGTAAGAGATCTGTGGCGCCCAGCATGCATGGTGTGAGGATGTTTTAAAACAACCTCAACGGAAGGGCTACTTTAACAGACACCAAAGTAAAAAAATATATATGTACACGCATGAATGAAGACTTAAAAATGTGAAATGTTCCATTCCTCCATGATATGAGTCAGTATTTGTTTTGTAGCTGCTTGTTCGTGGTGTTTCGCATACAAAACCCACAGTGTCCTCGAAGCATACATGACTGGCTCTTTTCAATCACGTAATTTAGACGTCCAAAGGTATGTGAAGTAGTAACGTGTGCATGTGCCGACTCTGGAGAACTACTAGGGATAAACATAAACACTCATCTTCTATGGCAACATACATGCACCGAAACTTCAGAACAGGCTGACAAAAGAGTAATGCACCAAGCTTGCATACAGATTTTGCCCATTCTGTTGTGCATGATTATTGTGCTCATGCGTGTTGCCCTTACAGTGTTCTACATATATTCATCAGTGTGCAATACTGAAAGCCCTAGTATCTGATGTTGAGGTCTACTTTCGATTCCAATAAAAACAAGGAAATCTGCACATTTTATAAAGAGCATATGGTTTAAGTAGGTTTAAATTGGTTTTTATTTATTTTATTGGTTTATTTCAGTTAATACTGAACAGTTTTACACAGATTATTAAATGAAAGTAGTTCCTTAATGTAAAGTGCAAACATGTATGTATCTCAAGTTGGACAATTTTCATATGAACCATATGTAGACTACCATTGTATGTTTTAAAAATACTACAAACAAGTACACACAGGCACTTTCTAAGCAATGAAATTTAAATGAGTAAGTTCAAGAGAAAATCTCATCTTGATTCTCCATTTCAAATTTAGGAATGCAAAGAGCATACATTTGTTTATTTAAATGTGAGATGAGCTTTTTTTTTTTCAGATGTTCCTTTGTAAAGAGATTTTTTTTTTTAATTTTGCAATTCAATTTCCTACATTTGTGAGCTTTGAAGATACTCCTTTAGAGAAAAGGCCCCTTTACACGTATATTGATCATGCTGTTCTTCAAATGTACATGTATATGTAAGATTAATGTACCGGTGTGTTATGGTTCCTTGCTTGTTATTAATGGTCTGTCAGTTTGATAGATGATTATTTGGGGATATAATGATGGATTGTTTCATTCGACTTGCTTGGCTTTAAATACACACAGTGGTTGATTGCCGGATGTTAATATTTCATGTAGTTCAATAAGGACATGGTTCTCCTTTCATTAAATAAATCCGCTGTCGTTTTTTTGCAGAGATGTATTTATTGCATTTAGTTGAAAGCCAGGAGATTCCCGACAAAGCAATCTGGCCCATCTGAATTATGTTTTGTGACTATGTCAACTTGCGAAAGCTGGTTGTTTACACTTTGCAGAAAATTACTCCAACCCTATCCAAGAACAGTGGCGTCATTGCCCGAGGATGGTGTTAATGAGAGAAACATACATGAATTGCTTTGTACATGGCCTGTCTAAGGAACCTGTCAGAGAGCAGTACTGATAGGTGAATGATGAAAGGGTGTGGTTTCTCACAATTTGTTCATGTTTTGGGTTTTTTCTCGGACGTTTCACCCAAAAATATTCGGTTTTTAGAGGTTCAAGCAGTATTGTTTGGGTATGTTTTTAGCACATCAGCAATTGCAAGTTTGAAATAGTCATAGCCAACTGTGAGATTGTACCTGAAATGTCACAGTATTGTTTTGTTTTTGTTACAACTCGTGCTGTGTGTTTCGTGGATCGTTTGTCATTTCCCGGTTTTGCTCCAGTAAGTTTCATAGGTGCCAGCCAAATTTCGGAAGGAGTTTACCTGCACACTGTACATGTACCACATGTATTGGTAATACACTAACCAAGGGCAGGATCAAACCACACTCTTCTGAATGAAGTAATTTTGGAATATCCAAAGTAATCCGTTTAAATCGTCAAATTGTAAAGATTATTTAAAAGTAGAATATAATTATCCACCTACGCAGGTGTACATGATTGCATATTAAATGCTTTCAAATGATGCCATTGTCTTCCCGTCTGTATCATGTTTTCAACTTGTTGATGATTGGCATGTAATGAAAACCATTCTCTGGTACATCCGGACTTTTGTCTCCATCGTCCAGGCGGTCGATCAATCATCCGCATTTCCCAACCTGGTTTACATCTTGGAGCTCTTATCAAAATTCCTGTGTACGTGTACCTGTCGGTACCTCCGCCGTCAAGCTCCATGCATCACTATCCATGTTCACCCTTTGTCGCAGGCAAAAAGTTTACTGAAATCATTACATACCTACATGTACCAGCACAACATTTAATGCTGGAAACGCTTTCTCAAGCTCCCCTCTCTGCATTTATACATGCTCACTTTCACTTTTGGCATATGTTTAGCTGGTCCGTGTGTCTTGTTTTAATACCGACAGACAGCAAAATTTGGCTTCACCAGCACTACATTTCTTGAAAATGGCGTGCATTGGATCAGTAATAGGTGCATCACAATATTCATTTGTTCCTGAGTGGCTGAAAGGAGTATTCATTCCATGACTAACATAGACATTAGGACATTTTTCACACGATGCTCGCATATCAACAAGTGCCTGCATCACAACTCTATATCAAGCTAAAAATTGAACTGTTGAACCCAACACAAGGGTCATCATTGACCACCTTTTAAAGTTGTTGAATCCAACATTTTAAACTTTAAATTCAGCATTTAAATGGTTAATTCAGTGTTTAAAATTCTTATTCAACAGTATCCAGGGAAAATGTTGTGTTACATGTAACTCTTTAACTGTTGGATGCGATATTTAAAGTGCAGGGTTTAACTTTTAAATTATTTCAAAGAGTAGTCATTGACTGCACTTTTGTGTTAGATTCAACACATCAGTTTTTCAAAGGTATGTTTCTTTTATAACTTGTGATAAATGTAAGCTAGTCTATGTATGTTGTTAATGTTAATTACTGCTTTGAGGTAAATGTATTATTTCATCAACACATCTGTTAGGGATTTTTGTTCACGTTATCAAGGGAAAGATTTCAATTGTTTCATCTTTTGTGGCAGCCTGTAGATATGTGCACATGTACTACATGGGCAACTTCTTCATTTCTTCTTGGAAGATGCTTGTACACACACCGTTGTTTTGAAGAAAAGCACTGCTCTTAATGGGAAGAGGAAATTTTAAAATGGTATGTCTTTGTTTATCTTTATCAGAGACAATGAATCAAGAAGCCAGTAGCCCTAGGCGTAGGAAGCTAGGATCTTCCTCGGAGCCACCCGACGATGACAGAGTCTCAGTCAAATCTGTTCCAATGGACAGACTGGCAGAATTAACTGTGGAATGCTTTGGTGAGTAGACAGGTTACTCAAACCAGGGGGGCCAGTTTTGTTCTTCTGAGTGCTAAAGAACCTGCTCGCTGTGTACCACAGTGGAAACCCTTGCACTTGGTGTTTCATGGGTGTAGCATTTTAAGGCCTTTGGGGCCAATTTAATGAAATGCCAAGATGCTAGTTAGGAAATGTAACTGGTCTTACTAGCCCTAGAATCGATCTCCCCCAACTTCAGATGCATTCAACACATCCTACCTTTTTTTTTCGATGCTGCTGAACTTGTCTTAACTTAGTCAGAGGGTAATCTTATATCATTATGCATTAATTTGCACATTGTTTGGAAATCATTGCCAATTAAGAGGATTGCTGTTGTAGAGTTACATCTACATGTATGTAATACATAATAGTTTTAAGGAAGAAAAACCAATGTAGGAACAGATTTCTGAGTGAGTAGCTTTTAGTAAAATCGCTTTTTTGCAGAATTTAGTGGTACGCCAACGCCTACTTATCTTTTAAAAGTATGTAATATAAACATTTTTTGGGTGACAGTTTGTGTTCTATACGCGCAAACAGGCCCAATAAATTGGCTTTGTGAGCTTCTTCTCAATTACTGTTTTGTCACACCATTAAAACTTACATGAAAAGGCATCAAACAGGTAGTTTTGATGCATTTTGCTTAAGCTAGATGGGTTTAGCGAAATCAATCTTGGAGCACATCTTAGGTAAGATCAGAGCAGGGAACCCCGCTGGGAGCACGGGGCTTCACATTTCCCTGTGATTGCAAGGTGTAGACAACTGCTTTGAGCCATTTCGTGCATTTGGTCTAGATCTTCTCTTTCCACATCATGCCTTTCTACATTTAAACATTTCTTTTATTATGTATACAGGAACACTGTAGATACCATACATACATACATGGATACTTGTTGTCTACACTGTTACATATTTCTAAATCATGTAGATTTTGTATATGTATGTCAAACTGAAATCATGGTTTGAACACAAAGAAAATGTTTTTGTCTTCAAATTCCAAGCTCAGCCTTAAACCATTTATCTTGACAGGACAGGCAATTGGCCCAGTGCCAGCTTTTTATTAAATCTCGGTCAGCTGGCCGCTGTCTACATAATGAAATTAGAAAATGGCTGGAGATTTTATTACTGGTGAGACATTAGGATATTGGTTCTTTCCGGAAGAAGGTCAAATTGGGCTAGACATGCAAGCGGTAAGAACTGTTTTGGCAAGTGACCAAGCCAAATAGTTAGAGGGAATTCTTTTCTGTGCCCATGTACTTGTTCACTGTGTAGTCCGGGAGTTGGTGCCCATTTTAATATTTTGGGCAGTTCACTGACTGTGTTATTGGCCAGAATCTTACTGTGGCAAGGTTTTAGTATTGGGGGGATCAGGTTGGTCAGGTTTACTTATAGGCTACAGCCAAGGCAAAATCGAAGGTGTCAAGGTATATACATGTACATGTATACATGTGCATATTTGTATCATAGCTGGCAGCATTGGGTCTTTTTTTTACCATTTTTTTAAAGTTAGATTAATTTTGCTTTCAAATGTATGTATTCCCGAAGACTAGTGTTCATTAGGATGCTTTTCAAACAATTTCTTGGTGACATACAGCAGTAGGATCTCCTCTTTGAAGTATTGAATGCCTAATTGAAAGAAGAGCCCAACTCAAACGAAACCCTTTTTTGAGTTTAAAGCTTTAAGTTTTAAGATTTTTTAAGCCATTACAAAGAAAATCAATTAACTCCCCTGTGGCAAAAGGGTGGAGTTGGGCCTTTCTTTCAATAAGGTATTCAATTCTTATCAGATAGTGTCTATTTCTGCAAGTTTCATATCACCGAGAGATCATTGGATCGCTATCAATGCATGAAAGGTATACGGGGTACCGCTAGGTCTGGAATCCATTTATGTGATAATGGCCTCAATTGAGTTAGCCTGGATCAAAGAGTGTATGATTAAAGCCTTGGCAGTCCACTCACATGATTTTTGTCGGGTAAATGGTCTAAAAGCACAAAAAAACTAATGTTCAGTTTCGTGTACATTTGTACATTGACTCTTCAAGAGAAAAACACCCTTTAGTCACATGGTAATCTGAATTAGCAATTACATGTGCTCTGATACAGAGACTAGTACACAGGAGTTTCAAGGGGGCTATACATTTCCACCTAGCTGCTCAGTCTATCAGTGAAAAACATCATCGTTGATTTTAAGTCCTTTTTCCAGTCTGTTCTTGGTTTGCCTAGCAGTGAAAAAAACACCAAGTGCTTTGTCACCCGGTGTTTTTCACAAACCTGCTTGGGCACATGCAAGTTGACGTCAGCCAGATATTGTTTTAGCCCTGCATGGCTAAATGAGTCCTCACGATGTGGATGGGATTTCCAACCCACCCAAACATTCAGAGATGCAGCGGAGGTAAACACATCAGCCAATTTAGTCTCTCCCCAGTGTGTTGATAACCTAGCCCAAATAACCTGTCCTGATGGGGATTGGTTTTAATTTATGTCTTTGATGATCGGATTTCATCCGGAAGCCCAGTGCTTTATGGAGAAGAAAAGAGAAGAAAACATGTAAATGCTTAAAGGTCTGCAGTGAATGGCATGTCTTCGTACCTGTAAGCACTCAGGTTATGGGCTCTCATCATCTGAGAGCAGGTCACACAGAGTCTTTTGGGGGGTTCATTAATTTTGTTTTAGTGTACATTAGAAAGAGTAACTTGAGCTCTTTGTTGTGATGTATTACTAAGTTTGGTTTTCAGATGAAAATGAACAGTTACGTGGGTGAAAAGTATTGAGGGTTTCTGTGAATTTGTATTGCGCAAGATTATTTTTAAAAAGAGCAGTGACTCTGGCTACACATGGCTCGGTGTTTTTAATTTTGTAGGTCACAATTTTGGCCAATTTGGGAGCCCTCAGGAGGCTGTGTGTACAGGTACCTAATATATGTGAACCTGCTTGTGAGAGAAGCTTATGGCTGGGGGTGGAATTTGGGGCACTGCCTTTGTGGTAGTACTATATCCAGCAAGAAATGAGTCCGAGGGGTACCCCCAACGTGTCCAATCACTATACACACTCTACACTATTGTTACCTAACACATCCCCCCTAGATGTCTGAAAAGAATTCCTCAGATTCCAGTGAGACAGTGACCAACACAAAAAGGGGGGGTCCTCTCCATCTCATATCCCGCTTCATATGGGTAGTACATAGTGTTGACAGTTGGCTCATCAGCAGATGTTGGGCCACATTTTGTATAATATGGGACCATGTACAAAATTGGCCAAATGAAAAGAGAACTTAGATCAACTATTATGAGACGTTACTTTTCCTGTGTGTATGGCTGGCTGTGTTCCTAATGGCTGTCTGTTTTGGAGAAAACTGGCTCAGTAAAAAAAAATTAATTACAATACTTACCAGTATTATGGTTAAAATAGTGTGATACCTGTATCATGGTTGTAATAATTTTTTTAAACACCCAAAAGGGAACCACCAACTAGAAAAAATAATTCTGTTTTGTTGAGAGACTCCTTTTTTAGTCCTATATCATCTTCTGTATCAGCAACCCCCCCCCCTTTGCATTGAAAACATCTAATGTGGATGCCTCCATTGGAAATTGATTTTTTTTTTAATTCAGGTGATGTCCTGGCAAAGGAAATCAATCAAAGGTTGTTGTTGATTCTGGTACAATGATTTGAATACACCTCCTATGACCCATACAGTACAAGGATCAAGTTTCTTTCAGCCCAGGAAATTTTTAAAAAGGGTTCAAGTTGATGATGTCAAGTCGTAGTTGAAATTTGTGCTTAAGTCAAGCTAGAGGGAGCCAAGGTGGCTTCAGGAATATGTATGGACCTGATGTGCAGTGATGGTCAAAAGTGCATTGAGAGACCCATTATAATGTTAAAACAATCATGATTAGAAGGTCTTACAATGAGTGGTAAAGCACTTCTCTGTTACTTTTCTCTGATTTTTGTCCTCCCAGATGAAGACGGAATGCTGATAGAAGACTCCACTTTCCCCAAAGTGGTCTTCCAGATGCACAAATGGTTCACAACATCGAAAGAGCTTGCGGGCCAGTTCCTCAACCTATATCCTTTCCAATGTCTTAGAAATTCCTTTTTCTAATTGTTAATTGACTTATCCAATCGAATCCGTTCATTTGTGCTCCTGCACTGATTTTGGGAACTGTGTCAGTGTGCATGTATGTATACGTAGCTGCATAACAGGATGGAAAGAAACAGCTGCCAAGAAAGATCCTAAAGGGTATACTGTTGGTTAAGTCTAGACTGGATTTGATTTGCAGGACTTTCATGCACCAAGTTCATCAATTCATCAAAGTGATGGATTGCCTCAGAGAATTTTGCATGTCATGCACTTTAGGGAGAAGTGAGGTACCGGGTAGATGTAATTGTTTACTGCTAATATGGCAACAGTGTTGGACTCAAGTGCAGTGATGCATGGCTCCAACCCGGTCAGAGGTCAGAGTGCTTGTGTTCTTTGGCAAGGCACTTCGCTTTGGTTGTCTCTTTTCTAGAAATATAACGTGTATGGTTTAAGAAGCAAAGAGTAGATTTTGCTGATCTTTGAACTATACTGCTTTAAACAGATTCCCTGAGTCTGATAAACGGACGTAGAGGTATACGTAATCTTTTTGAAGTATTTTCAGGAATATGTGTGAAGTTTCAAGAACAAGATCGCTGTTACACATGTTCCCTTCTATAATGTGTTTAAAAGTTCGGGAAACATTGGAGCATTCGTGCATGCACTGTAATTATATTTAATCAATTTTTTTGTAGGGTACAGTATGGTGAAAAGATCAACTTCCAAGTCACTTCCTTTTTTCTTCCCCAGATTTTTGCAAATGAAGTCATGAGAATTTTTCTTTTTTACCAGCTGTGATTTTCTGTGGAAATGTTATTTTAAATGGTTGAGGTACTAAAATTAATTAATGGAAGTGAACTTTTGATACACGGACCTCCAATTATATTTTTGTACTTTATTACAGTTTAACTCAAACTGATGTGTTTTTAATTGTGTTTGTCAGTTGACGTACGTACAGCTGTTGACATCCTACAAAAATGGTCTGTAGATTGGTCACGGTGTTCTTGTACACCCAAAAACAATACCTTAACAAGGGTTACCTCTAATGTCGCCAAAATTTTAGTTTCATGCAAACATGACCTGAATTAAAGTTGCAAAATTAAATACATGTAGCCAGGACGTAATAGTACATCGAGCTGTTTGCCATCTGCCCACTCCTGTTGTGTGTGCATGCATGTACAGTATGTGCCTGTCTTCCAAACACTTAAGTTTTCTTGACTCTGGCCACACGTACAAACAGTGCAGTACCTCCCTGTGTGCCACGCCTGTCTGTACGCACAAACCCGATGTAGCCAACTGTCTGATGAACAATTACAAGAAGAGAATCTGCCATGCGCTCAGGTACGTACATGCATTGAAACTATTTGCTGCAGTGAGTTACAGGAGACGAATTGAAAGGGATGTGGTCGGTCAAACTGATAGTTACACACTCCCGTGTGAAATCCAGGGATACACGTTTGAGTATACAAGCTGTGGTTTGCACGTGCACAGTGCTGTCCTGCTTGAACGATCCTTCTCAACTCACATTTTAGCATTAATTGCATTTCTCTCTGCTTTCCTGGTATCTGCCATCATGCAGAACTTTTTTAGTGGGAATGATACCCTTGGCAGTTGCTTGCAGTGTGACGCAATCGAAAGTTGATACTGTGGATTTGGATGGGAAATTTTTTGAAAAGACTTCACTTTCGCATTCACACTGACACTTCACAAGGCACAAAAATGATTTCCCACTTGTGGGAAAATCTGTGAGAATCATTTCCCGCTTGTCTGCACATCCATGAAACTTTGTTATTCCCACTTGTGGGAAAATCTATGAAAATCTTATTCCACTTTGTTTTCCAAAAACAATTTCACCTTTTGTGAGATGAAAATGCATTCCCTGGAAAGAGGAAACAGTGCGAAAATTGGCACTTCACAGGTTAACTTTCAGTTGCGATGTACTGTAGGAAAGGGGCTAGTGAAAACAGTCATGCAACTGTGCCTCATTCCCGTTGGTCAACCAAATCAGCTGCACTGTCCACTGCAAACGGACACTGGTCAAACTGTTTTCAACTAGCACCAATAGCTGTCAAGCTCAGGCTGGTGAACATTGGTTAGCTGAGGTACTCATCCCTACATGTATGTCAGTTGGTAACCGAGTGCATAATTCAACAGAGAGGGCCTGGAGGGGCATATTGATTTGCAGACCCAGTGAGTTTCTGCCTTGTATGTATTTATAAAAAAAGTATGCAGCATATCAGTTTCTGTCAATGCTGTCCCTATCACTCAAAGTGAGCCATGTACATGTACTGGTATGTACATGGCACTTGTATACAAATTGCGCACATGCAAAAGGTACTTGTAGGTCACAAACCAACCACTTGTTATACAGTGTGGTTTTTGGATCCAACCTGCTCATGTTTCTGAATGACCTCCGTAGCAACCCCTCTCAAGTTCTCCACATCACATCCTAAGGCAGGCCTGATGGAGTAGGTGCTTATAGTACACGTATTCAACAATAAAGAAATAAACATTAAGTGTTTGTTGAAAAAAAGCCACTTGGCCTTGAGAATGAGAAGCCCTGGAGTCCACACATGTTTGAAAAGTAAACAACTTTAGAATTATTTTCAAAATAAAAAATACATTTAGCTTGACTACTTGCACCTTCGTATGCATTCAGCTGGGCCCCATACTTTTTGTCCAGCATTTAGTCAGGTTTACTTGATAAATACAGTGCAACCTTGTCAGCCTCTGTCATTTTGTTCAAATGGAAATTTTCTGTTGCTAGCAAAATGACACCCATTTCAAATTGGAGACTTCACATAGATGAAAAGGAGGGAATGCGAAATTTGCGGTTGTCATTTTAGTGAAATATTGGTGTCTGAAACCTTTAAAGTGCATTTGATCAGGCTCACATTTTTTATTTCCAAATAATAAAAAAAAATCAAACAAACCAAACGAGAAAATAAATAGCACCCCAACATTTTCCTGGGTTTCTCATGATTGTACATTTTAATTTCACTTCCTGTTCCACTGAGACACGATCTGGGTCTGGATGGATGTGTTGCTCATGTTTCATGAGCAAACCTTCATCCCTTTTGAAGGAGCGCTTACTGTGGCACATTGAACAGTTCCAGGATTTTCAACCTGCTACGTGGAGGTTGGATATGTGAAAACTCTTGCCTCCAGGCAGTATCCCCCTGGAAGAAATTAAAGCCCACGAGGTACTTGGACTTTCATGTTTCTGACTTTCCAAATTCCATGGTTCATAGAGAGAAATGTGTAAACTCTCCCTTTGTATGCTACTGTTCATCTTGCAGGGGAAAATAAAGATATCTTTATCATCCACTTGTACGAAATTCTACCACTAATGTACGTATCTCCCCCTGCTCTTCTGATCTGAAAGTGTCTCTAATTAAGAGCCTCTTTTTTTATGGGACTTCCTGTCTGCTCTACTTTAATTTTCTCTTTACCACAGAGAAAAATAAAATGCCTAGGAGGCGGCCACGCAGTCTACACATAGTTTCATTGCATCCTGTAACCCCCCCACCTGTAAAATTCCGTCTGTGTCGAGTTTCCCTTCGATACAGAAGTCATTTCCTGCGATGGTGGTTTACTGGCTTTCAGGACAATATCCCCCCTGAGTCCTTCATGTACGGGCTCAACTGGATTCAGTTTCACATTGAGACTCTCAAGTCCCAATCACTTCAAGGAGCCTGTGATGATGGGGAATTTTTCCTCCTTGAAGGAAAAAAAAGAAAGAAGCTTTGAACGGATTGGGGCACAGCTCCGGTGTGTAGACCTTTTAAAGGTTGAATTTTGATTGACTTTCTTGAGAAAGTGTAACCACCCCAGAGGTACATGTGGTTGAGCTGTTAAGCAGGAATTTCTGTCCCAACTACATGTACCAAGAGTGTTAAGATGAATCGACATTGGGCCTAAATGTGCATGAAATAAATACTAAGGAACGACCCTTGGATTAATGACATAAAAGCAATATTACTAAAAGCGTAGAAAGCTTCAGTTAACCAGTTCTGATGTGCATATGCACCAATCTTGTCCAGCAAGTAAAAAGACTCTTACAATTCCCTCTCAAACACTTTCCCAGGCCAAACAGTCAAGTACTGATTCTTTGCACAATCTTTTCTCTTATTTTTGCATTTATTTACATAATTTTATTGACTGATCAGAGTATATGCCATTACTGTGTTCACTCACATACAAACGTGTGCATTCTTAACCCTAAGGTGTGCTTGCATTTCGGCAAATCACAACTCCCTTTTGGTCAAAGAGACATGTAAAACATTAAAATAATATTTAAGATTGAGTCTGAGTATAATGTACCTGTATTACCTGTAGGGGTCAGTGAGCCTGGTGTCTTCCGTATACCTCAAAACAATCAATCAACCAACCAGAACAGATTACTGAAATACCCAGGCTGGGTTTTTTTGTAGTTGCCATGGTAATCAGAAAAAAAAGACTGTGATCGGTTAGCCACAGTGCTTGATACGAGTGGAGATTCCTCTCCTTGAACAGGATTTGTCATTTCTAGGCATGCAGCTTGTGCCACTCGTCAGTGATTTGGAAATGCATCCTCTGCTCCTGGAAGACCCCTTCCCTCCGGGGGAGATGGAGGAAGTGCACTGTGTCTAGTGAATAAGACAAACGGATTCAGCAACAGTGTGAATCTCTGACATTTAAGTCCTGAGTGTTTGCCAGCAGGCTCATGACGGGGTTGAAGTTATGAGTACCTTGCTGGAGCAGTGACCTTTGTATACTGTATGTGCTACCAGGGCCTAGTGAGATCATTGACCGTCTGTCAACCATTGGTTGATTTTACTGGGATACCTAGGATTACCCAGGATATGGTTTTTATGCATAGGTCACCAGGTGAAAGTGACATTGGTTGAATTTACCCTGGTGGTCTCTGCTTTGTTGTATCTGTGCAGTCTTCCTGCGCAGTTCTAGTTCCATCCTGCTTTCAAGTTTTTGAGGACCAAATTCTTAATAGCTTCGAAAAAGTCTGAAGACAGGCATGTGTAGTGACATGCAGTTGCTGCTTGGAGATTTTGGTGAGATTCTTAAGATAACCTAGGATTTAAGCTGTGGCAGACAAAACAAATCAGAAACAAACATGACATAAGTGCAATCATGCCAATCCTTGGACAAATTTTAAGCAGCGGTGTCAAATTTTCTCATCAAACCTCTATGAGTGTTATTTGACTACGAACCCTAACCCATCCAGTAATTTTATAACCCAAGTCATTTTTTCTGCAATTCAATTCACAAGTAAATTTTTTCACGTCAAACCAGGCTGTAAGTTGTTCTTTCTCAAGTCAGGTCAATTTTCCCGTCTGAAAAATCTCGAGTCTTTTTTTCAAGGCTTTCTGGAGCTACACTTGATATGTACTTTAATGTCCGTCAGGCTTTATTGATGATGTATCCTGTGAGTTTTAGTGGGTTTTGTGCCTCCATTTTTCAGCATGATATATTAATTTCATTCAAGGTTATGGTTATCTGATTTTCAAGTCCAGTCTCAATTAGTAAAAAAGAATGGCTACCCAAGTCTGACTCCAGTCTGAATCTGATTCAGTAACTCTGGTCACAACACTGCATTTCAGGAGTCTGTCCACATTCACCGGAAGGTTTGGGGAGAGCTCAAGCTATTGCTCCGCAAGAGATTTCTTTTGTGCCACGTTTTTAGAGGATCTGCCATAACTTCAAAATGAATTGGAAATGTCAAACCTCAATCTTCACTCAGTTGGGGTTTTTAAGTCTGCGGGGAAAAATTTAAAAGAGTGAGGAAATGTATGCAATACAGAATCCCCCCCCCACATACACCTGCATTTCATTTTTTTTTTAACTATGAAGAAAAAGCAGCGTGACATTAACTTTGTTCTGAAAGCCTATTTGGCTCCCGAGTTTTCAAGCTCTCCCACACACCCCTTTGGGGATTCTGGTATCAGTTTCACCAGGTGATAATTTCCCTGAAGTCAGTCTTTTTGAAAGATTTGACCACAAGGCTGGTGGCGTGAAGCATGTGTCTGATATCTGTGGGAACGGAAATGCTGTTTTCACTTCAGTTGCGAGGTGTTTACATTGTGTCTATAGATCAGTATAGAAGTCCATCCACTTGCTGTATTCATTTGCTCAAATAAACATGCTTCAATATTAAAATCAGCACGTATTTCAGATATTCCTGGAATAAACAGTAATATCGATACACACACTCTTGTACTTTTTTAATGAATAGTAGAGATGTTGCAGGGGGTGCCAATGGAAAAGTCTCATCTTATAAAGAGCCCTCCTTAACTCCATTAGCTCTCCCCCAAAATGATGGTTCCATTTGAAGACTTTCTTTC